GGGTCGTTCTGATGCTTCTTCGCCTGAAAATCGAAGCGGAAAGTGGAATGTGCGCGTCGACGTGGAGTTGGGCGTTTGGTTTGGGTGGGGTGGAGAGATACTTGGCCGGCGTATAGTGGAGGTGGATGGTAGTGTTGATATGAGCTTTTGCGTCCTGTTTGCCGATAACATCGCCAGGGCATTTGTTGTGATGGCCGTGGGTGCATCGTCGAGCGGGGCATCGGCGTCGGATATGAGCGACGCCTATATGGATTATGACTATAATAATCGTTATCCAGATGAGCCCAAGCGGCCATCTGATCATGAAATGTTAGAGGCGTGTGGTGACCGAATTGATGATGACTCTGGTGTTAGATGGTCGCTCGATGAGTTGCTGCAACTGTTGTACATGAAGCAGCGCCCGCGAGCAATCCAGGACCGCGCAACTCATCTTACACATAATACTCGTCAAGGCGCTCGTCCTCCCCATCAAACGGCATCTCCACCAAATGAGGCATCTCATCGTCCGCCTCCGCCTCCGCCGCCAGCTGCAACCCCGCGGTGAAATCCCACACAAACTCCGTCCGCTCGGTATCGAAGTTGCGTTGCCTTGCAGCCGTCTCCACTATAGACTTTTTGTACTCGCGCAAGGCATTTCTCACACGCCTACCCCTAAATCTGGACTCGAATGACATGCCGTGCATCCGCCCGGCCCTCGCCGCTCCCCCACCGTACCCCTCCTCATTGTTCATCTCCAAGATCCGCTTTCGGATCTTCTCGTCCCTCAGCCTCCTCTCAGCCAAACCACCCCCCTTGCTCTCATCCAAACAGCACCCACACTTCGGACAGTGTGAGCGTCACTCTAAGCACCTGAGCACATGCAAATAATTATACTCCTTTTGGAGCTTCTCATGAGATCTTTAGAGCAACAGGAGCTCTATAATCAGCGTTTTAATCTTCCTCCTCTCACCCTCACTGGCAGCACGATCCCGTGCTGAAACCATAAGACATCGACCCAACACACTTCTTAACCGCGCCAAGTCCGCTGCCTGCTGCAGCGTCAATGTGTAATCCGCCGAGACGGATTGCTCTGCCAAAATCATATTAGCCAAACGCTCGCGGCCACGCATCGACCGCAACAACAAATTAAACAAACACTCAATAGCGCTCTCCTCCTGCACCTTTGTTAAGGGGAAGTTCAACGTTGTTTGGACCTCTGCCATAATCGCTCGCTGAAGAAACGTTTCTGCCATCCACTCCAAGCACCTGATGGCGGACAGTGCATCTGCCTTATTAATCTCCCGAAGATCCTTAGCCTTAGGCGCCTTGAACAACGCGATCGACAACATGCACACGTCCCCCCCGACGTCGGATATCGTCAACAATTTCCGTACCTGGACATCCAGGCTGATAGCCTCTCCCTCCAAAACACCATATTATCGAACAACGTCTCATCTCTATTGCTTTCCAAACGCACAACCGTGTCCCTCAGCCTCCTAACACATTCAGCGCGAACACTGCAAACAACCCCTGCATACCTTCCATCGGTGCTCAACCCCCCACCCTCACCCAACCCAACTCCTTCCCTCAGCTCCTCCACCGAGGTCTCTGCACCCCTCTTCTTTCCCGCCCGCCTCTCCTCCCCCTTCGCGTTTTTCCCAGCTTCTGCCCCCCCACACGGGCCCAATCTCATCTCCTCAAACATCCTCGTCACCGCCTCCTCATAACCCTTTTGCTGCTGCTCCAGCAACCCCCTCATCACGTAAACCTCGTGCTGCTTCATGTACAACAGTTGCAGCAACTCATCGAGCGACCATCTAACACCAGAGTCATCATCAATTCGGTCACCACACGCCTCTAACATTTCATGATCAGATGGCCGCTTGGGCTCATCTGGATAACGATTATTATAGTCATAATCCATATAGGCGTCGCTCATATCCGACGCCGATGCCCCGCTCGACGATGCACCCACGGCCATCACAACAAATGCCCTGGCGATGTTATCGGCAAACAGGACGCAAAAGCTCATATCAACACTACCATCCACCTCCACTATACGCCGGCCAAGTATCTCTCCACCCCACCCAAACCAAACGCCCAACTCCACGTCGACGCGCACATTCCACTTTCCGCTTCGATTTTCAGGCGAAGAAGCATCAGAACGACCC